TCACATCCCTGGATAATCTGGGTGAACAAGATATCCAAAAATTACCCAGATCCGTTTGGTAGTTTTCGATCACCATAGGAGCGATGTTCTGACCGGTCTGCCACGAGTTAGAAGCCCAAAATAGCTATAGAATATAGAATGCACACCATAACAATCTCAAAAAACTTAGCTTTATTATGTACAAAAAGTACCAGAATGAAAACATACAATAAAAATGAACAAAATAAGAGGGATGGAACAGTGCTATCCAAACTGATCACAACGGGTAGGGGGAGGCTGCACACCTGAAAGGAAGGGTAACCCTCAAAACTCTTCAAAGGACTGGAAAAACAGGAAACAACAATTACAGGGTGCGCCAAGAACAAAGTAAATAAATAATTTATTAATTTATTAATCACAGTGTTGTCTGTAGCCATACTCTTTTACGTTACTGCACCATTGGTCCCCTCTGTATGTTTTTTTCTCTTTCATATATGCTGATGAGAACTTGACCCAAGACGTCCTGAGAATTTAAGAAGAATATACCTGTGAATTAGAGACTTTAATTTGCCTGTTTCCCTGGTATTTTTTTTTCCTATTATCCATTTTATTTATTTACTTTGTTCTTGGCGCACCTTGTAATTGTTATTTCCTGTTTTTCCAATAAAAATGAACACAATGACAGAAGCAAGGGCAAATACAATAAAGAAATGGTAAAATACCAAAAAAATTCTTATACGCCACAAGACAGAAACACGAGTCACCAAACCCCCCAACCTTTCGGCACCAACTTGCTACCTTTATCAAGGGTACCTGTATCCATGTTCAGATGTGCCTGCTTATAAAGCCGTCTTACAGCTGATGGCCATCAGCATAAGGTTGTTACCAACTCCGGAAGTGACATCATCAAGTGCTGGCACAATATTTTAATAGTAACATAGTAATATCATATAAGAATCAATTGTGTGCACTAAAGACATTCACAGAGCAAAGAAAGTCATATAACCTAAATGATAAATATTACTGCTCTAATAACAAACCTCTAGTACATATACAAACAGTAAGTATGCTCACACTATATCTGGCGTCTATAATTGCCATTTTACTCACTGGCAAGCGAACGCCTTTAACAATATGCCCCACAGGTGTCATAGTCGCCGTCGCGCGAAACAATAGCACGCACATGCGTACTACAATAAGTGCCACACACGCGCACAGCAACGTCTCATTGACGCATGCGCATAACGGCAAACCGTTTGCGCAGGTGCATTGCTTCTACTAAGCTAGCGAATACTGTATCTTCAACCACTGAGTTACCCTATCATTCTAAAAAACCGCCCACATACAGTGGACGGCAACTAGTATCTAAAATAGTACAATAAACCATCAACATTCTAACTAACACCATGTTCCAAATTATACTCCATAAATGTCAGTACCCCCCATGCAGATATACAGAATATGTATTACATATGTACATGTCAAAGAGGACTAATAAAATAATAAAGAGATAAGGAATAAATAATCTTAGATCCACTTTATAAATAGAATGTGATCAGTGAACCTATACATAAAATCATCTTCCACAAATATTACAAGACAAAACACAAAAGAAAACCAAAAAGTGATGTGCAAAAATGATTTTTAATTCAACAAACACCCAATGTGTAATAGACTGATCGCTACAGGTGCCAAATACGCAATAGTAATGCAATACACAGTGGTTCTCCATATAGTACATGTTAACTACTTAACTATGTAGTGTAAATCAGTAATTAGTCAATATATTTACAAGAATAACGATATTGCCATAATTATTTACACAAACAAAATAAAAATAATTATTCATATTATGCACAGGACAATATAATACAATGTGACCCGCATATTAAGAGGCTATTCATTATCAATTTTTAAAAACATAGCAACATATTTAAAGAATTCATCACAAATATGTATCATTTTGAGAAAATAAAGATATATCAATGCTATTGAAGAATCCATTATAAACGTATATGGCATTAGAAAAATGATTATTACATCACCTTCGTCAACCTATACACTGACTATACCCATACAAACTGCATAAACATAGCATAGGTAAACAACATCATACCACCCACAAAAAAACACTACTCCTGGCAAAAAGCTCTCATAGTCATGGGTACCAACGTTTAATATTGTCAGTATACTAGATGTATAAATAATCATAAGTCATAATTCATATAAACAAAATTTGCTATAGTATAAGATACAAAACTATATATGCACATAATGGGTCATCATAACAAAGACGTGAATCAATTCAAAGTGTATGATAATACATTCTAATCGATTCAATATCTTCCGGCACACTAACGTCACCAATACCATGGTCCAAATGGCCACTGTAGCTCTAATCTATAAAAGGAAATAAAAACAAAATATAAAGATACAGACAAAACGCAGGCAGAGTAAAATATTGTCAGGATTATAGAAATGGTGATAGATCCTTATCCTCATTCAGACCCTTAGGATACAAAGTCTGCAGCTCGTAAATCCAGTATACCTCACGTTGTTTAAACCTAACCACTTGTGAAATGCCACCCCTACTGGATTTAATCACCTCCAAAATCATGTACTGCAGTTGGGAAACTGTATGTCTTTTCTCAGTGAAGTGTCGGGCCATTGGACATTGCATCTTATTCGTCCGTATGCCGCTCTTGTGTTCCCCGATCCTTGTAGTGAGCGTATGCGTGGTTTTACCCACATACGCTAATCCACATGGGCATTTGAGCATGTACACCACAAATTGAGACTGGCAATTACAAAATTCCCGAATCGGGTTTCTCCTACCCGTCCTCGGGTGCATAAAATTATATCCCGTGATCACCTCATTGCAGTTAACACAATGCCCACAGCGGTACATATCCGGTATCGCAGAAAGCCAGGTATCAGCTGTATCCGTCTTCCCCTGTAGATTGACATTCTTCATTAGATGGTCCCTTAGGCTCTTGTGCCACTTAAATGAAAACAAAGGTCTCTCATTAAAACAAGGGAGAAGTTTAGGATCAGATTGTAAAATTTTCCAGTGCTTGTTAATGATGTGTTTAACCTCACCAAAGTGAGTCGAGTATGTTCATCACGCATGGGATGCCTTTCTTGCCATCCCTAGCTCTTTTCTGCAAGAGGGTATTCCTAGAAAGCAGTTTCGCCTTATCCCTACATCCAGAAACCACATCCGTCTCATATCCTCTAGAAGAAAATGCTTTCACCAGTTGTTCAGCCCTAGTGTCATATTTAGCTTCATCAGACACTATTCTGCGTGCCCTGACAAACTGACCATATGGCAAATTCTTAATAAATGATACTGGATGAAAGGAATCCGCATGCAGGTACGAAACCCGATCTGTGGGCTTTTGGTACAGATCAAATGATAGACGACCTCCTCTTACCTGTAGATTAACATCCAAGAAATGCATCTCATGGAGGTCATATTCCAACGTAAAGGAGATGGTGTCCAAACACACATCAAGTCTCTCTTTAAAAACCATTAGATCATCCACATTACCTGTCCAAAAAAAGAAAATATTGTCTATATATCTGAGCCACAACCTCACATGACGCATAAAATCCTGGTCTCGGTATACAAAAGTATCCTCAAAAGCTGCCATGAATAGATTGGCATACGTCGGTGCTACATTTGACCCCATCGCTGTACCCTGTATTTGGAGGTAATATTTACCCTAAAAAATAAAGTAGTTCTTATACAGTACTAGTGACAACAAATCAACAAGTAAGCCCCTGTACGACTCGCTCATATCCATATCCTGTATGGCACCAAATACCGCCTCAATACCTTCCTCATGTGGTATGGAGATATATAGGCTGTTAACATCCATGGTACACATCAAGGAGCCATCGGGTATATCCCCCATCATTTCAAGCTTGCGGATAAAATCCGTAGTATCCTGCACAAAGGAGCGCATCCCACTCACTAACGGTTGCAGATGTATATCCACAAATTTAGATAAAGGCTGCAATATCGAACCACACCCTAAAGCCAGGTTAAACACATCATTAACAAGCACTGGAAAATTTTACAATCTGATCCTAAACTTTTCCCTTGTTTTAATGAGAGACCTATGTTTTCATTTAAGCGGCACAAGAGCCTAAGGGACCATCTAATGAAGAATGTCAATCTACAGGGGAAGTGGGATACAGCTGATACCTGGCTTTCTGCGATACTGGATATGTACCGCTGTGGGCATTGTATTAACTGCAATGAGGTGATCACGGGAGATCATTTTACGCACCCGAGGACGGGTAGGAGATACCCGATTCGGGAATTTTGTAATTGCCAGTCTCAGTTTGGAGTGTACATGCTCAAATGCCTGTGTGAATTAGCGTATGTGGGTGAAACCACGCGTACGCTCACTACGAGGATCAGGGAACACAAGAGCGGCATACGGATGAATAAGATGCAATGTCCGGTGGCCCGACACTTCGCTGAGAAAAGACATACAATTTCCCAACTGCGGTACATGATTTTGGAGGTGATTAAATCCAGTAGGGGTGGCATTTCACAAGTGGTTAGGCTTAAACAACGTTAGGTATACTGGATTTACGAGCTGCAAACTTTGTATCCTAAGTGTCTGAATAAGGATAAGGATCTATCACCATTTCTATAATCCTGACAATATTTTACTCTGCCTGCGTTTTGTCTGTATCTTTATATTTTGTTTTTATTTCCTTTTATAGATTGGAGCTACAGTGGCCATTTGGACCATGGTACTGGTGACGTTAGTGTGCCGGAAGATATTGAATCGATTAGAATGTATTATCATACACGTTAAATTGATTCACGTCTTTGTTATGATGACCCATTATGTGCATATATAGTTTTGTATCTCATACTATAGCAAATTTTGTTTATATGAATTATGACTTATGAATATTTATACATTTAGTATACTGACAGTATTGAACGATGGTACCCATGACTATGAGAGCATTTTGCCATGAGTAGTGTTTTTTTGTGGGTGGTACGATGTTGTTTACCTATGCTATGTTTATGCGGTTGGTATGGGTATAGTCAGTGTATATGTTGATGAAAGGGATGTAATAATGATTTTTCTAATGCTATATATGTTATTAATTGATTCTTCAATAGCATTGATATATCTTTATTTTCTCAAAATGATATATATTTGTGATGAATTCTTTAAATATGTTGCTATGTTTTTAAAAATTGATGATGAATAGCCTCTTAATATGCGGGTCACATTGTATTATATTGTCCTGTGCATAATATGAATAATTCTTGTTATTTTGTTTGTGTTAATAATTATGGCAATATAGTTATTGTAGTTATTCTTGTAAATATATTGACTAATTACTAATTTACACTACACAGTTAAGTAGTTAACATGTACTATATGGAGAACCACTATGTATTGCATTACTATTGCGTATTTGGCACCTGTAGCGATCAGTCTATTACACATTGGGTGTTTGTTGAATTAAAAATCATTTTTGCACATCACTTTTTGGTTTTCTTTTGTGTTTTGTCTTGTAATATTTGTGGAAGATGATTTTATGTATAGGTTCACTGATCACATTCTATTTATAAAGTGGATCTAAGATTATTTATTCCTTATCTCTTTATTATTTTATTAGTCCTCTTTGACATGTACATATGTAATTCATATTCTGTATATCTGCATGGGGGGTACTGACATTTATGGAGTATAATTTGTAACATGGTGGATGGTATCCACTATTAGTTAGAATGTTGATGGTTTATTGTACTATTTTAGATACTAGTTGCCGTCCACTGTGTGTGGGCGGTTTTTTAGAATGATAGGGTACCTCAGTGGTTGATGATACAGTATTCGCTAGCTTAGTAGAAGCGCTGCGCCTGCACGAACGGTTTGCCGTTATGCGCATGCGCGAATAAAACGTTGCTGCACGCGTGCACGGCACTTATTGTAGTACGCATGCGCGGGCTATTGTTTTGAATATGACGCCTGTGGAGCGCATTGCTAAAAGGCGTTCGCTTGCCAGTGAGTAAAATGGCGATTATAGACGCCAGATATAGTGTGAGCATACTTACTGTTTGTATATGTACTAGAGGTTCAATATCAGAGCAGTAATAGTTATCATTTAGGTTATATGAATTTCTTTGCTCTGTGAATGTCTTTAGTGCACACAATTGATTCTTATATGGTATTACTATGTTACTATTAAAATAGTGTGCCAGCACTTGAAGTGATGATGTCACTTCCGGAGTTGGTAACAACCTTATGCTGATGGCCATCAGCTGTAAGAGGGCTTTATAAGCAGGCACATCTGAACATGGATACAGGTACCCTTGATAAAGGCAGCCAGTTGGTGACGAAAAGTTCGGGGGTTTGGTGACTCGTGTTTCTGTCTTGTGGCTTGTAAGAATCTTTTTGGTATTTTACCATTTCTTTGTTGTATTTGCCCTTGCTTCTGTCATTGTGTTATTTTTATTGTATGTTTTCATTTTGGTACTTTTTGTACATAATAAAGCTAAGTTTTTTGAGATTGTTATGGTGTGCATTCTATATTCTATAGATATTTGGATATTTGAAACATTTGAGGGAGTGTTAATATGGTTTGCACCTGGCTATTTTAATACAACTAGTATTAAAATAGTTCATGGAAATTGTTGGTCTCTGTTCGTGAGGTTTTGTATGAAAACCACGTAAGGTATAGGAAAGCTGGTTCATGGAGAATGCTCCCTGTGTTTGGTATTCTGTAACTCCCAAACGCCATTTATCTAAGTGAATGGGAACTAGAACGGGCCGCAGGGACGTGTCTTCCGCGAGGCAAACAAGGCATCTGCCTTGGGTGGCACGTTGCAGGGGGCAGCAAATATTTTCATTTATGTATAGCTATATGTATTTACAACCTCAATCTGGTTTATTGTCTTAGGTCTCATGGAACAGCTAACCAGCGTTAAGACGCTTAATTGAATCACCCTAATGATTCCCTGCGTGTCGTGAGCTGGGCCCGCCCCCTCACTTCATACTTCCGGCGTCTATGCGTCGCCCTGGCAACCGCTGATAACAGTCGGCTATTGGCTGCACAAAGGGTCACTGACAGCAAACGGAATCTTGTGTGTTGAGGTCCCGCCCATGCCCCACGTGCTACAGAGTACGTTCCCATGACAACCGGACGCCAGTTCCACTTATACGGATTCCAACTGAGTACAAACTTAAGTTAATCCGAAGAGTTTCTGGGGATGACAGTTAGGTTTAATAACTGATTATATATACATGAATATATTATATAGCTAGTACTTCCCTATGACCATAAGCTCTTAAGCTCTTAATAGACAGATCAATGTGACAGTAGGTCTCAGAGAAGGAACTGCTGTTCCAATAAACTTGTGCAAAAGCAGTATTTAGAGATAATAACATCAAATGTGATCGTAAAATACTATACTCTGTGATATATTATTATATATGATGGTCAATACTACGTGGGACAAAAATGTATTAAATTGTTTCTTGTAGGAAAATTAATTAAATTGTAGACACAATTTAATACATTTTGGTCCCACATAGTATAGACCATCATATAGAATATATATCACAGAGTATAGTATTTTATGATCACATTTGATGTTATTATCTCTAAATACAGTTTTTTTCACTATACCCCACTCCCTCTAGCATGTAAGCTCATTGAGCAGGGCCCTCAACCCCTCAGTTCCTGTGCGTCCATTTGTCTGGTTACAATTACGTGTCTGTTAGTCCATCCATTGTACAGTGCTATGGAATTTGCTGGCGCTATATAAATAATAAAATAATAATAATAATCAACATTTCAACCTCTAAGAGTCTTTCTCAAGATCCAGCCACATATCTTAGCCATGTATATCATAGCTAGCACCCATCTGCAGAAGAAATGATGTATGTTTAACCTGAAAAAAAAAAAGAACAAGCACTGTCCAACATTTAGAGAAAGACATTTTTCAAGCATAATTTTGCTGGTAGCCATATTGACTTTGCCATGTGGCCAGCCACTATTTTACACTGCCCTAATGGGTATCTTGAATTAGAATTTTATAATGTCATAAAATGTTTAAATGTTATCTTATGTTATTGGTATGGCATAAATTATTTTATTAATCTTATATTTAATAAACAGCCACAAATATTTTATATTTATTGGGAACTGTAGGGAGAAACAGTCCTCTATGTCTGTGGGCATACACTTACATATACTGTGTACATAATTAATGTGTCAATATTTAGTGTTTAGAGAAAGTAAAGAAAAATGACTTAAGATTCTCACAATGGAGTCAGACAACTCATGGGGCTCTGTAAATGAGATGCAGTAGTTATGTTTCCAGGAATCACTAGTACTGCTTCACTGTTAAACGTCAAACTGTTTTCACTTGGTAGAATTGCTTGTGCTTAGAGCACACCTTAAAACATGCTGTATGAGATTTGTAGTCATGCACCTCATATTTTTTTCTTCATTTTAACATGATAGAAATAAATAACTCATAAATGTATTGTCAATATTACTTCACTTTAAAAAATAAAATAACCTGTGTCATTATTTTGAACTTGCCATTCATGCTTAATCTAATGCAGAGCAGTTAAATGCTTTTGTGCCAATGTAAAGCTCCTCGAGTAATCTAAATTCTTTTAAAAACAGAGCCTTTAGATTCTTGAAACTAAATCTCACTTCTTGAATGTCTCAACTCCACTTAAACATGTGGACAAAGAGGACTGGTTTAAATTCAAACTCATATACCAAAATGAACAAAATCTTTGAAAGCGCCAAGCGCCTAATACAATTAATAAATATTTCCAAAGATCTTAGGTCATTTCACAGCTTTGTAAAACATTTAAAGGCTCAGTACAATGTGTTTTATAATTGTTAAAATAATTATTATATTTTAGGTGTAATACTAGTCTGTAAGGAAATCTGCAAATAGTGCATTCTAGTTTAAAATAATATTTATATAGGCAATCCTGCTACAAAGAAAAAGCTTATTGTGCATTCTTTAAAACCTGAGGATCATATTGACCATTATAACGGCTATTCTCCCCAAATATATACATCCGACAGCTGTGAAGACTTAGAGCAATAATAAATCTACCTTGCTTCCCAAAGCAAACACATTTGTTCATCGTGACTCCTGCAATAACATTTGGTATGCTCAAGTCAACTTGACTTAGACTGTCTGTATTTTCAGAGTTATGAAGATTCCGATTTTCATTTACTCTTTTTTAAGTTGCTTTTTATTTTAAAAATATCAATTCAAAAAGTTCATATTAGTAAGGTTTTATATCAATAAAACAGGTAGATTTTATTTTTATTTTTAAAATGTTTGAAATTTCGAGAAACTTGCTTGCAGATTAATTGCAATAAATAACTAAAATATATTCAAATATGGGCTGATTTCTGAACCGTCATATAGATTAATCACGAAACAAACAATTTGCTTGATAGACAAACATGTACATTTTGATTTGTGATTTAGAGTTTTGCCTGTGGCGCCAAAAAAACAGATGATTGATGATAAAAAAGATTATTGATGGCTAGAGGAAAGTCACTTAATGTTGTTTTTATTCACACAGATCAAGTGACAAGTGTCCAAAGAGGGAAAAAAGGAGGATCAGTTAAAATATATATATTTATATTAATATCTATATATATCTACACACATATACATATACATATATATATATATATATATATATATATATATATATAAAAATAAATATAGTTGCAAGAAAAAGTACGTGAACCCCTTGGAATGATATGGATTTCTGCACAAATTTGTCATAAAATGTGATCTGATCATCATCTAAGTCACAACAATAGACAATCAGTCTGCTTAAACTAATAACACACAAAGAATGAAATGTCGCCATGTTTTTATTGAACACACCATGTAAACATTCACAGTGCAGGTGGAAAATGTATGTGAACCCTTGGATTTAATAACTGGTTGAACCTCCTTTGGCAGCAATAACTTCAACCAAACGTTTCCTGTAGTTGCAGATCAGACATGCACAATGGTCAGGAGTAATTCTTGACCATTCCTCTTTACAGAACTGTTTCAGTTCAGCAATATTCTTGGAATGTCTGGTGTGAATCGCTTTCTTGAGGTCATGCCACAGCATCTCAATCGGGTTGAGGTCAGGACTCTGACTGGGCCACTTCAGAAGGCGTATTTTCTTCTGTTTAAGCCATTCTGTTGTTGATTTACTTCTATGCTTTGGGTCA